AAATAAATAAATAAAAATAAACTAAGTCATTAATAATTACTGAAATAATAGTAGTGAATAAAAAAGTCATAACACTTATTGACTTTACTGTGTGCATGAAGCAGTGCTAAGAACTTTATTGGTATTAAGCAGCATTTGTCACTAAATATGTATTTCTCTTTCTCCCTTCTAATATCACATTTGCCATTTTTTAGGAAGTATAAGAATGCTAATTTATTTAGCGTCACTGTTTTGGGATGCTCTTGACTTTTGGCTTTATATCTTTTAATAGAAATATAATGCTGATTATGAACTCTCAGCAAAACAAGGGGCAGATACCTTGGCTTACATTGCTCTCCTAGAAGAGAAGCTTCTTCCTGCAGTGGTGAGCATTGGTGAATATTACAGTGTTTTAGTGACCTACTGAAAATGTACTTAAGTCTATTTAGAAGAAAAATAATGAAAAAGGCTTAAAGAGGACATTTCATTGATGTACTAATCTTGATTCTTTCATGTTACTGGGAAACTGAATTCTGTTAAGACATTCAACTAGTATGTGAAACAACAAAATGAAAGAGAATGTCATTTTGGAAATAAAAATAAAAATTATTTGTGAAAGATGGAGTTTGTTGCTTCATGTATAGAATTGGGCGAACTGCAATCCATTCATTCAGCAAATATTATTGAGCACCGACTATGTGCTAGGCCTTGTTCTGGGTGCCTGGGATATAGCAGTCAACAGAAATCACATTTTAAATCTTGTTTTATCCTTGAGTCATTCTAACTGGAAAGTTTATTTGAAGTCACTTTATACAAAGATATTTAGGAAAAATTTTCACATCCGTTGAGTGACCTTTCTTTTAATAAAAGAACATCCTTGTGGTGTTTTGTTCCTCCTTTTGCAGCTTCACACATTCTGGGTTGAGAGCGACAATTACTTCACTGTGACAAAGCCATGGTTTGCTTCACGGATTCCTTTCCCATTGAGTTTGATCCTGCCTGGAAGAATGTCTAAGGGAGCACTGACGAGGATTCTCCTGACCAGAGGAGAGCCTCCCCTCTACCACCTCCGAGAAGTGGAAGCACAGGTATGGTCATAATTCTTTTCAGAGCCAGGGCCCTCCTGAGGAGGGACAAGAGAGATAGCGGAGATGAACTTATCTATAGACGTCTGCGTAAAAAGACGTTCTAGAGCATCTTTCCTACCTCTGACATGTAATTTCATCCTTATTAGATATATAGAGATGCCAAGGAGTGCCTAAATCTTCTGTCAAACAGATTGGGAACATCTCAGTTTTTCTTTGGAGATACGTGAGTACCTTCCCTTAAAAATCACTTTGATGTTTTGTGTGCATATATTCAATGCGCAGTTATTTAAAGCAAGTCTCCTGGTCGTCTGCCTCCCCCAAATGAGTTTTTCACTGAAAAAAATACGTAATGGATTTTTACTATTGGCAACTATCTGTTGTGGTACTCTAACACTGACTTAATATGTTGCATATGGGAATTTAAAACATCTAAGACTCTCCCCACCCTGTCTCCAGTCCCTATATAACACTTGTGAGTAAAACTGAATTTTTAATTGACAACTGAATTTTCTTTGAAATAAAACAAATGGTTAGAGTATTAAAAAAAAACTACGAATGAGTATAATCCTAGTTGCATCATTTTTATAAGCTAAAATGGGTAGTAAACCTTTTAAAAGACTATATACTTCAGAATTGACAAATGTATTTGAGAAAATAATTTTTTTAATGTAATCCCAAGTTAATTTTCTTATGTGCTCTTAAAATATCATGAATTTATTTTCAGGCCTTCTACTTTGGATGCCTATGTGTTTGGTTTTCTTGCTCCTCTTTATAAAGTACGCTTCCCTAAAGTTCAGTTACAAGAACACTTGAAGCAGCTCTCCAACCTGTGTCGCTTTTGTGATGACATCCTAAACAGTTATTTTAGGCTTAGTCTTGGAGGTAAGCTGGCTTCTCTTCAGCTAATCTTTGTATAAAGTATTTGCATATTCTCCTAAGGATGTATAAGCAAAATGCATTACTTATTTTAAAAGTTTGTGTATTGTCTTTAAATGCTGGTTTAGAGCCCTTCAAAAAATTGCATTTTCCCAACTTTATTTTTATTCCCATATGTTTGTTCTTATTTAAATAGAGAAATAGATATTTGCCTTTTGTCTATTCTGGATTTTATACATTTCTTGCTCTTGTTCTTTAAATATTGCCCCTTTGAAGTGGGTCATTTTCTTCTAAAAGATTAAATCACAGGTATTGAAGTATTTATTAAGATAGCATTTATCCTAATGCAAATGGGCAATTACTTTAAATGTTGCTTCTAGCATTTTCCTGCGTGAACAGAAATCAGTAGCAGATTGAGTTTGGTGAGGTACACCCCCATGATTCCACTTCTTGAAAACTGATTGCATCAGACTGGAGGTATAGTAAACAGAGGGCACATGTCATTTAGGATACGAATCTTTGGGAGTGTGAGGCCTTGTACGATTGGGATACTAAATTTGTTTGGGAGAGTTGGCTGAAATTGTCCTTTTAAGAAACAGGAGTTATAGGCACAGACAACAGTTTAGTGGTTATCAGAGGGATGGGGGAGGGGGAGAGGCAGAAAAGAGTAAAGGGGGTCAAACATATGGCGATGGAAAGAGATTTGACTTTGGGTGGTGAACACACAAAGCAATATACAGATGATGTGTTACAGAATTGTACACTTGCAACCTATATAATTTTATTAACCTGTGTCACCCCAATAAATTTAATAAAAAGAAAGAAACAGGAGTTATAAGGATAGTTGCCTGAGGGACAATTTATTTTTTTATGGTTGGTTATGTGTTTTTTATATAGCAATAAGTTAGTAGTTTGAGAGACATGAAATCAAGTAACTTTCAACCTTGTTACTTTGGAGCAGTGGTTGGCAAACCTGTCCATAGGACAAATATAAAATCTTGGGTCCTATACCAGATTTACCAAATTAGAATTTCTTAGGGCTAGACCCAGGAATCTGTATTTTTTAAAGTTCCTCCAAATACTTAGGATGACTGGTGGATAGCTGTTTTGGAGTTCACTACCTTAAAAAGCTATCCAGATAGTTGTAACTCAAGACCTGTTTGGAATAGGTGGGGAAAAGGTACAATTTAAATTTGAGAAGGAAGTGAGGCCTGCTGTGCTCTTTTCCTAATGACCTTGGCTAGCTGCAGCACACTTGGCCCCCAGTGTACTCTGTGGGCAAATTCAGTCCTTTTGTTTATGGCTTGGTTTTGGAGCATTACTATCCCTCTTAAATTTGCCTTTGAACCCAGAATGGTTTTTCTTTGTGCTTTTTTTTTGGGGGGAAGGTGGGGCACTTGGGAGGGTGGATAGATTCAAAATTCTTTCAGTCTAAACAGCTTTAAAAGCTTTCAAAATTTCCTGTCTTTCTGATTTCTGTTTCTGGCTTCTTAGGAATCTCTCCTGCTGGACAAGAAACTGTAGATGCAAATCTGCAGAAACTCACACAACTTGTAAATAAGGAATCCAACTTGATTGAAAAGGTCAAGTTTACTTCAATCATTGTTTTATAGTAATTTAGTAGTTTCCTTTCTGCGATTAATATTGTAATTTGGGTTATGAATTAAATTTAACCTCTTAGTTTTTTTTCTTAAGAATTTATTTTTTTTAGAAAGCTGTTTAAATATGTATTTACTAAAGTTGTATAGTATAATTTAGTAATTTGAAGCCAGAAGTGGCCTGATTGCTTTGGGGAAAGTTCTGATAATGAGATTGGGTTTACTTTTACCACCCAATTAATTAGTATTTTTCAACTTAGGAGACCCAAAAGCCTGGCTTAAAAAAAAAAACCCAAACAAACGATAGAACAAAAACATTTCTTGCTTGCTTGTCTGCTTCTGTCTCTGAAGGTTAACATTTCTTGAGATTGGAAGCATCTGTGCTTATCCTTGCGAAGAGCACTGTAACATCTTTCTTCCTTATGAAATGTTTTATATTTTCTCCGTCCTATCCTTTTCTGTTCTAAATGTTGTCTACAATTTCTTTTATCAGTGTGGCTATTTTGCCATTTGGGGGGTGTTCATTTGGTGAGAGAGAGATTGAGGAACTGGGTAGGAGAGAGAGCCAACAATGGAAATTTCAAGGGTGATTCTAATTGGAAAAATACAACAGAGTTATTTGGGTTTTTTTTTCGCCAAGTGTCTGGTAAACTTGCTTTTTTACCTATACAAGTGAATAATACTGCATTCTTTTACAAACTAATGGGCAATGTGCCCAAATAACACTGGCTGGCAGTAACAGGCATGGTGTTGTGTGAGCTTCATGTGAGGTATCTCATTAATCCTCACTGCAGCTCTATGAGTGCATGTCCTCTACCATCCCAGTTTTACAGATGAGGATACTGAAGCTTTGAGAGTAGCTTATGTGACCTGGCTGAGGTCACACAGGTGACAAGAATTAGAGAGGGAATTTGAACCCTAGAAATTGGACTCCAGCATGGGCTTTGCAATTAGTCAACTCTAACTCATGAATGAGATTATGTATCCATTACTAGCAGTACTAGTAGCCAGGTTCTAACTGCCACTCTGGAATGACTGTTCGATTTCTCCTTATTGTATTTCATGTGTTGTTAGAACTTGGGAAGTGAGTAAAATTATAAGAGTTCACTGTTAAAGTTTGGGTAAACTGAATAAAAGCCAGTTTGTCTTAATTCTTTGCCCAACCCAGTAAATCTCATGAGAGGACATATATTGAGGGTTAAGTGTGGATAATGGGAAGCTTACTCAAGCTATTTTAGACAGTGAGCTGCTAGATAAAGGCTATCCAGTATAGTTTCCATTTCCTGTATGTGGCAAACTCATGACAAACATGTAAAGAGAACCGTGAAATACCTACATATGCAAAAATAAAACCAGGAGGCCCTGTCCCCACTTTGCACACTTCTTCTTGGGTCATCATCAATATATGAAAGTTTTCTGACCCTGTATCAGCACTTCTCCTGCGCCTTCATACCTGCTCTTCAGTATGGCTCACTGCTACAGGACATAAGAGCAACAAATTCTAGTGGCTACTACTGTTCACTATTTGGATAGAAAATCTAGAGTTTTAAAAAAAGAAAGCTATGTTTGAGGAACTTAATTTTTGCAAGAGAAAAAAGCATCTTTTTTTACTAGAAGACGTCTTAAAACAAGTCATGTAGCGGTTGAGTTCAGTAGAAGCTTCATTTTTTGGAATTACTGTAATTTTGTAAAGGCATCAAAGCTGAGCCATATTGTTTTTATACATCTGAGTCAGCTGGTATTTGAGGTATGACATTTAGAATTCTTGAGAGATTATTTGCAAGAAAAAGGTTTCGCTAGCAGTCCTAGAAACATATGGTCCTGCAGCCTTCTAGGCTATAGTTTCAACGGGGTGGCCACAGTCCACATAAGTGGTGCTACAGCCATTCGTCAAATGTGCGTTTTGTACTTTCCACAGATGGATGACAATCTTCGCCAAAGCCCTCAACTTCCTCCTCGGAAACTGCCGACACTTAAATTGACTCCAGCAGAAGAGGAAAGTGATTCCTTACAACGGCTATCACCCTGATAGGTGACATGCTTCTGTCCAAAGTAATATGATTGTTGCAGTCATCTTTTACACTAAGTGTGTGGAGGCTAAAAGAAAATGCCATTAATAGGTATAAGGAAGACTCTACAACAAAAGAAACTTTCTACGACATCTATTTTTTTTAAATTAGGAAGCTTGTCTTTTAGCTTGGCAATGCACTTTAAATACCATCAAAGTGAATGCTAAATGAACTTGGGAAAAAACATAACACATTGAAATAAAAAAAAAATATATATATATATATATATATATATATATATATATCCCTGCCTTAACCTTGGCAGATTTTTGCCTTTGGTTCCCATGTTGCTGACCAAAAGCTGCAATTCTGCTCTGAACGTGCAATCTTCATTTATTCAAGCTAATTTATTTAGTTTTCTTAGATCAGCCTGAATATCTAATATGTGACACTTTGGCTAAGGCCTTTTTCTTCTGTTTAGAAATCTGATGCCTATTCTAGACATTATGAAAAATATATTATTCTAATATTCTTATATTCTATTTACTTCAATAGAAAAGCCTCTATTTAACTTTAAAAAGCAATGAGGAATGTGCTTTTTAATTATGCTTTCATAAGTCTAATCTTTTGGGGGGGTTAGTACCATATATAAATATTAAAGGTGGTTATATATAATATTTATCTTACTATATGCACTTCAATATAACATTACTATTTGTTGGTGTGTTCAGTATAAGTTAGTAAGGGCTCTTTTAGTTTATTGGGCGAATGTGGCAGCTTTAGCCCTATGGATTTGTAGTGTATCTTTTTTTTTTTTAAGATTTTATTGGGGAATCGGCGGGAAGGGGAACAGACAAGTTGCTGTTGTTTTGTTCTTCAGTCTAGTTGTGGAGGATGTCGCTTCACTGGCCCAAGCTGGCCACCATCATTGCGCTCTTCCCGGGGGAGGCAGATCAGTCGCCGGCTTCTGGACGGCTGCTCACTGCGGCTGCTGGCTGCTCACGCTGGCTGCTGGCTACACATGGTAGCCCGTGGCAACCCACTGCAGCAGGGACTGCAGCCCACGCCGTTGCCGGCGACCCACAGCAGCCCAGCTCCCAGGTTGAGCTGTTGTTCAGCATCTTAGCTGTAGAGAGCAGTGTCACTGGCCCTCATATGTGGGATCCGAACCGGGGCCCTCTGGCATCCCAAGCCAGTTCTTAACCAACGCGCCACTTGGCCGGCCCTGTAGTATATCTTTAACTCTAGTTATCTCTTGGATTGATTTCAGGAGAACTGAAGGTGTTGCTCATCGTTATTATGCCAGGCTGTAAAGTCTTACTGAAACTTGCCCAATCCTTAGACACTACTCAGGAAGAGCCTACCACCAGATTAATAGAAGTACCTACTGTGCGCCTGGTCCAAGTTCACCACGCTTGGCTCAGACCAGTGTTCTTTCATAAGCATATCATGTAGTCAAAAGCTTTATGACAACTAATTATTTTTTTGTAGTTGAAGAATCCAATGGAATAATTGGAAATAGCAGCAAAATTTTAAGAATATTTTCTATTTATTGGTTGCCGGACTGTTCAAGAATTTGCTGTGCAAGTAATTTTACTTTATAATAGATGTTGCTTATTTTAGTGGCTGAGGTGCTTCTGTTGTCCTAAAACCACTTCTGGGGTTTTTAAAATATAGGACCATGTTTTTGATTAGTGTCTTAAAAGATTACTACGGTGCTCAGCAAATCTTATCATGTCCTGCAGAAACCCACATGTTAGGAAAACAGCTTTGTAGTCAGGAGATTTGTCTAATTTGAGCTGAGTGGAGCTCAGCTGTGTTTGACCTCCATCCTCTCAATTTGTTCTGTATTTAGGTAGCTATTTATACAGGAGTCTTTAAGTCCTTGTAAATGTTTTTCATGAAAGTTTTAATTCAGTGAGAAATAAGGTAGTCTTCAAAATCTTGTTCATCTGTTTGGATGCTTTTAGGGAAAGTAATGAGTTGTGTATTCTGCAACAGGTGGGAAAGTGTGTCTCGTGTCATGCGTTAATCTTCTATTCGAGTCCAGCAATCTGAAGTCAGTATGAATATTATGTATTGAAAATCATGACCAGAGGACTTTATTGTCCTCTGATTGATGTATATTGGAGAAGGTTGGTTAGCACATTAATCAGACATCTGTTCATGCATTAGTCAGGGTTAGTCATTTTCAATTATGATTTGTATTAAAATTTCCAAAAAGCATTTGACATGGCTTATAATTGTCAAACACATGTAAAACAGGACAATTAAAATTAGTTTTGGAAGAATACAATATTTATAGGAGAAAGAGCTATATCAACCCTAACATTCTAAAATTGAATAGTAAATTTAACTCCAAGTTTCTCCATAGGCAAAGTCAAAAGATAATACTGGGTTATGTAAATTTTTCTGCCAATAAAACTACTGATGCCCATGAATAAGAAAAATGTGTTTAAATTTTTATGAGAATGTAGGAGATCATGTTCTTACAAGACAAACTTCTGCTGATAAGCATACTGCAGCATTTCATATGTTGAAAGTTTAATCAAAAAGACATCATTTTAGAATAACAAATACACTTTTTTAGTAGAGAAGACTGTAAATATTATTTATTTCCTTTTGGTCATTCCTGCTCTGAACTGCCTTTAGCCTTGTACTATATAGGACATGATGCTTCTAGATGCTTCTTTTCTATGATGCAAAATGGGATTTAGATAAGTGAAAATGTGTGTGTTGGTTTATTTAGTTGAGCTGTTTTGGTATAAGCCAACGAAATGCTAGGAAGCTATAACAGCACAAACTGCTCCATAGATGTGCCGCTCATATAGGAAGCTCTTGGAAAGGAACAGCTTCCCAGATGGGGCAGAGAGCTTGTGATCAGCCTGTCAGGATATGCTTTGGATCAAGTTTGACTTTGCTGAGATAATGTCTACAGTCTTAAACAAAATGCTGTGAGCTACTTTCTTTTGAAGGTGATGGTGGAGGATAATATAAAAGGGACTACTATGTTTGTATTTATATTTGTTGGTGGTATAGGATTAGAAAATTGGTCCAATAATTCCCATATGATAAAGATCCTCCACAAACTGCCATCCGTCATCCATAAGACTACCATTCTTGTAACACTAAAGAAACTAAAGAACAATGAGGATAGTCATTCTTTCACTGTTTTTTCCCCCTATAAAAGTTAGCATGGACAAGTGAATCCAATTTCAACTTAGGTATGTTTGTATTATTTTTGGAGTGCCAGAGGAATAGAGATTTTATGTTAAATCAAAACCCTTTTGATTTCCATTTGTAATTTCTATTTAATATTGCTAGATATATTAACATGAAGGAATGGAGAAGCTTATTTCAATCAGAGCTAAGTTATAATTTTCAGAAGTCTGCAAAAATGGAAAAAACTAGCCTTCAAAAGAGGCATAATTGGAAACGGTGACAGTATCTCAGGATACCAGTTTTTTAAAGGTAGCTTCATGTGATAAAGTTTGAAGTCAGTAGTATGTTTTCTTAGAGCCTCTTCCAAGAATATACATTGACCAGGTCCATTAGATTTTATGACAGTGTTTCCTAAACTGTCAAAAATTTTAACCTTTTAAAACTAAAATATAAATGCTTAAATGCAAAGACAAGCTGAGTGATGGATACACAGGATTTCTCTGTACTGTTTTTGCAACTTGTGAATCTATAATTATTTTAAAATAAAAGGTCTTAAACGTAAATTCAGTAGAGTAAATTTATCATTATCTACATAAACTGTGACTTAAAATGTATTGCTCCAAAGATAGTAGCCTGTATTCATTTCCAGCTGAATACATAATATAAATTAAATATTGTATTTCATTCTTGAGTTTAAAGAAAAAAATAACTCAGGTTTATATAACCAATGATTATCTAAAGATTTGTTTTGCCTTACCAGAAAAGAAAAAACAACCTAAAACCAAGAACTCCTTTTTCCTAGGATATAAAAAATTATATGATTTTGTGTTTGTACGTATGTCTTTTTCTTCCTATGGTACCTGGGTTTTCTGTGGAGGATAAAATATTTTTTAAAAGCTCTGGGTCTCCAAGTGGTAGCCCTTCTTTGCTTTGCACATGTTACCTCTCACTGCACAATGTGACAACATGCACACCAGGACCACGTTTTAATGAAGAAGGTGCAGCCTGTCTGTATGCTTTTTGTTGGAAGCTCACAGGGAATGAGTAATTGACTTTGTCCTGGTTTGGTTATTTATATAATTGAAATCCCGAGCACAGCCACAGAGTGTAATTTGGGTTGTGATGATCGTCTTTTGTATATGTTGTTGGCGTTAAGAATTATCTTTTCCTGTTTCTTGTTCAGCTCTTGGAATTTACATTTACTTTTCAACGGTTTCATATTTCTTAAGCAGATCATTAAGAAATTTGTTGTTAGTGACATGAACCAAAGGCCAGTAATCCTATTATCCTCAAAGGTTTAATTGAAGTTTCATTAGATCTTCAAAATGCTGATTTTCACAGAGCTGTGAAGATGGATTTTTTTTTTAAGGGTTTGCAAAATAATTTAGCCCAAAACTCTTATTGGGATGTAGTGTTTGTTAGGTGCTCAGGTTACTTGCCTTAGACGTAAAACTACTGTGATTGAGGTGGAGAGGTATTCTCAGAATAAAAAATATACAGCTATTATTTGTTCCAGATGAAGAGGCCAATCATAACAGCTGAGAATTAACATTCTCGAACTGTGATATAAGAAAGGGTATCTTTGAGTTGGATGTTTGTAAATAGAGAGGGGATTTTTTTTTTGTGATAGAAAAATATTCACAGCAAAACAAAGTCATTTCTTTATTTAAAAGAAACACAGGAAAATAAATCTTTTGTATCCTCATTATTATTATTTTGAAATTATACAGTAAGATTTCTAAAAACCGTTTTTTAGTTCCTTGGAGAAGCAGTTCCTAAAGGAGCATTTCAGCAGACTAGATCATTAGTAAGTGTGTAGAGGGTCAAATAAATTTGGGAAATACTGGATTAGACAAAGTTAAGTTACTTAGGCTTTTCAGAACCTTTGATATGCTATTGTGTGGTTGGTGTCTCCAAGATGGACCTGTATTTTATACACCATTTCCCTAATTCTGTATGGATTGTTTTTAAAGTAGGTGTCTTGTGAGATTTGTGTTCTGAGAAATACACTCAGGGAAATGCTGCCTTAGAGTGTTTTTGCTGGTTTGTGCTCATTGCAAAGGTTTCCTGTTTGGTGCCCCTCTAGTGGGTGGTTACAATGGGAAGAGACAGGTCAGGACTTGGACCACGGAGTGAAGATAGCGGTGGGTGGCTGCGGTTTGGTTAGGTTGGTTAGTTAGGTACATGGGAGGCCCCTGGTCAGTCCAGCCCCTTTACCTAGAACCCCAGTAGGCTTGGAACAGCTGTACAGGGGACTCGAGGAGACAAAGGGGGAGCCAACTTGAAATTCCAGAACAATTTTCCAAACCACTTTTTGCTATGCTTTGAAGTGCCAAAAAGGTGCTGGGTATTTATAGCACTGAAGTCATATAGAAACTGGTTATTTTATATATATAATATATATATATATATAATATATATAAAATAACCAGTTTCTATATGACTTCTGAATAAGGATTGTATGTTTGTGTGTACATTTTCTAGGATGAGGGTTTACAGTTTTCATTACATTCTCCAACAGTTTCTCTATCCCCCAAATTTTAAACCTCACTCGCCTCCAAATTTCAGGGGACTAAGTATGTTTGATTTCATTTCAAAGTATCAAATCAGATCACTAATCAGACATAAGGATGCTTTTGTTTGTTTTCTGCAGTGTGTACAGTTGTATATTTGGAACTCCACGCTTTGGATATGCATTTGATAGAAAG